GTATTCCTCTGTGTAACAAGTTACACAGATGCTCCATGACCTGCCAGTCATGCTGGTGTAACCATAATTACAGGTATCTTAACCCAATCATTAGAAACAGTTGCCATAATACCAGATTACATAGGTGATTTTCCAAATTTTCGTCATCAATGGGATTTGAACACCCAACCTACCACTTGGAAGGTTGACAACCTGATCACTTCACTAGGTCGCCACACCTCCTAGAACTTAAAGTATTTATATGAAGTATAATATTATATATATATATAAAAATATTAATAACTAATGTTGCATAAAACTTTAGTACAAACTTATAATAAGACACAAGTACAAAAGACTAAAGAACTAAAAAGATATAATTCTACTTGAAAATTCTTAATTAAAAAAATAGTACAAACATTTAACAATACTATTAGACTGATAAAAATCTATAAAACACCTTTATAAGAATAGGTAAATAAACTAAATAACAAAATATATAAAAAAGCATATAACCAACCAGACCACCAAAATTACTAAAAAAAAAAATATTAAGATATATTTATCAGATCATTTGAATTAAAAGTTTAAAAAAAGAACTGCTTTAAAGACTTAATAGCCATAGCATATTTTTACTGATATTGGTTAGGGTTGTTGGTAGACAGAAGTAGATAAGTAGATATAAAAACTAGAGTGGTTAAATAGAGAACCTACAAGCAGATTTCAGATATAACAGCTAGTGTAAAACCATCAGGTGGACTACTTAAATTAGACAATGATTAAAGTTGTATAAGTGACTAGTTGTATATTTTTTTTTTTATAATTGCTCTTTGTAGTTGTAATGCAATCCTTAGCCAAATATACTATTAATAAAATCCTGGATCACAAGTACTTATCTTAATATTTAAAAAAAAAAAAAATTTAAAAGTCTAAAAAATTTTGTTAATTCTGAGTTATAGTTAGTAAAAGATAATGAAAAAGATATCAAAAAAATAGGTACTGAGATTTGATTAAGAGTAAGGGTGATGTAGATTATTTGTTATATGATTTTCCTAACAAATAAAATTTTATATATAAAAAAAATATATATTATTAATAAAACTTTTTAGTATTATATTCAATTGTTACCAAATTTAATAGTATATAAATCTATATCTTCTAATTATTTTAATAAAATTTTATAATTTATTTTATTTAAAAAAAAATACTTTATATATTACTAAGTTTGCCTGGGTCAGCTTATGAGTTTCCTAGATCACACAAGATTTATATAGGAAATCTATGTAATGTAACTAAAATTTTATATGTAAATCATATGAGATTATATGATTTGTTATAAAATTATTAGTAAAAATGATCTATGTTACTTCTACTCTTAAACTTTATAAAAATAAAAATAGTATAAGATAACAGTTTAAAATTAGTTCTAACTGCAAGTATTAAATAACTATAACATGTTATATAAAACTAGATTAGCTGTATGTAAGACATAAAAAACTTTAGTAACAATGCTTTTGAGAATGCATTATATAAAATAAGATATAAGGTTTTAAAAGTATAGTTAAACATCTAAACCTTTTTAACTAACATGTATATTAAAAATGATCTAATAACACAGTAAAAATTGCAGTACAAAATGTTTAAATAAGCAATCCCCTTAGTTGGATTGCAGGTATGACAGTTAGTATAGAACCATCAATAAACTATTTAAATTAGACATCAAAAATAAATGTGTGACTAATTGTACTTTCTAATGTAAAAATGACTCTTTTAAGACCTTGGCTGTGAGTTCCTATATTCTAATTACTGAATAAAAAACCCCAACTCCAAAAAAGACTAATTTAAATATATAAATAAAAAAAAAGTATAGGTTTTATTAAAACATAATTACTCTATAAAAGTTATCTGTAAAATGTTAAGCTATTAAAATAAAAACTAGATATTAAAAAGTATAATATATATAAAATAATATTAATGTACCTCTAAAAATATATATAGCTACTCAATAAAGTGCCGACTGATGACGTTTACCCTTAAAAAAAAACTACTAAAGAAAACAAAAAACTTTATTAATTTCTATAAAACAAAAAAAAATAATCACTAGTTTAAAAATACAGAAAATTTTATAGCAAGAATATCAATTTATTTGATTTATAGGAATAAAAACCTCTGTATAAAACATGTTTTGTGACTATTATTAAATATCATCAATTAAACCAAAAAGTCTAATATAAATAATACATTTAAACTTTTTGGTTCCAGTTGATAGTACTTATTATTGTTATAAATTATTTTAAAAATTAACATTATTCAATCTTTAAATGCCTTGCATAATAAAAGAATTAATTACATTAATATGATTTTAAACGTAATTTATTATATTTCTATTTTTTATTTTTATTATTTAATTCTTGAATTTTTTCTCACCAGTAAGTTAATCGTTCAAAAATGCAATCATTTTTTTATTTAAGCGTGTAAAAATTCAATAAGATTTATCTACTATAATTTGACGTGTGTGGATATTAATTACAATATGACTCCACTACATTCTTGTTTATTATTATTATTCTTCTGGACTTTTGAGACACATTAAAGCGATCCTATCAAGATCACGTTGTCCATCTTGCGTGATTTTACGACCACTAAATATATAGAAAGAATTGTTAATCAATTAATTTGTTGGGACAATTGAAAATTTGTTTTTAAAACGAACCCTTTGCTATCTTTTTCCAAGACATTAATTTTTTCTAGAGCCTGGAGGACTTTGCGAGCAATTGATCCTGAAGATTTAGCATGATGTGATGGACGCGTGCCTCTTCGTTTACGACCACCATGAAGCTTCCTCAGCGCGCCTACGCCAACTCCACTACGAAGATAGATGTGTCGAGCAACAGCCGCTAACAAGTTGTTGACCATGTAGTGAGGTTAAAAAAAAAAAAAACCAAAACCAAGATAGAAATCGAATTTTAGATATATCTACCTGCCCTTAAGTAGAACCAATCGGGATCATAAGGTGCTAGCTCCTTGAACGGACCAGTTTTTACAATGTCAACCCATTTTGGTATTTCCAATTTACCAGCTTTTTTCAAGTGACTTGCATAAGCTTTCACAAATTCATGAGGATTAACGTCTTTAACCGTTACGCCACCGGCCATCTATTATCAGCGTTCATGAAGTGATCGCAAATGTAAACATTGTTTGCAGTAACGAATCTCAACGACACTTCGAATGCGTTTACCTTGTGGCAATTTTTTATGGTGGATAGTTGAGAGAAGGTGCGAAAATTATCAAACTCATATATTTATATAATTATGAAGATCTGTGCTTAATAATTGGTCCAATCAAATTTGTTCTTGTCCAAAAAATTTTATGTCAATATTTCAAAATTTTACATTATGCGTTTTCGATTAATTAGAATTACTTTGATATCCATATTATCGTTTTGTATAAAGTTGCAAAATTAATTCTAAGCAGCGAGAATATTCTTACGAATTAAGATAATTTAGTTCGACTAATCTTTAGTATCTATGTTCACAAAATATTTTGTCTTTTTATAGCCTACGAGTCAAAAGTGGGCAAATTTTTAACAAATTTATCAACAGCCGCTTTAAAATATTCATTATTAACGCCTTCACCTCCAGGATGTCCAACTGGTGATAATGGATTTTTTACAACGTATTCTACATAAAAGTTTGTATATATTTGCCTTAATATAGGCCGAAGGGATTCTGCCGACGGATCGGTATTTATGACGAATTTCAGTCCTGTTTGTGTTTCATAATAGTGAAGTTTATAATTTGATGTGCGATAAGATATAAATCCATCTTGACTAAAATAATAATTTAAAGAATTATTTTTTGATAAACTCGAATAACTGTTCATGATACATAAATAATTCGTAATCGATGTCAATCATAGATAGACTTACTTTCCACTGAGTTTATTAACAAGATTTCTCAAAGTTCGTACGACTCCGTAAACTAGTTTTGCTTCTTCCTCGATATTAACTAAGCGGCTATCAGAAAACATGCTCGTGGTGCTTGTTAGCTGAGAAGCTGTAGAATGATGACTCGCGAGATGATTATTGGCTGCAGCACTATGAGCCGGCGAAGAGGAAGATCCTCCTGAATCACCATCAGGCTGGCCATTCATACTTGTTGTCGCGCTTGCAGTACCAGCATTATTGCTTCCCATTATACCACCGCTTTTTCTATGTCTGTGCCAATCAATATAAAAAATGCACATACAATGGCGATCAAAAATGTATAAATTATAAATCATTTTTTATTTTGTTGTAACTTAGAAATAAACGGTTTTAAAGTTTAAAATTGATATCAGATATTCAGATATCGAATATTGATTTAGTGTTCTACATGACGTACATCACATGATTAAAATTGATCGTACATCATGATCAATGAACGCGTCTTATAAAATGTTGTTCTTTCGCCACTTCATTATCGAGGTATTTACTTGTGTCTTTCAGGTCGTTACAAATAATAATACTTATGTAAACTTGCTTTGGTTATTTCCAAATGAAAGTTTTATGTGTGGCTGAAAAACCTTCGTTGGCTAAATCAATTTCGCAAATACTATCTAATGGAACTTCTCGCGCGGTAAAGCTTTGTTTATGGCTCTTAGAAAACTTTTATTTATCGACTTAAATATTACTACGATTACGGATCCTAAAATTTGTGTTTGCCTTGCTCTTTTTACATAGCGTCCTACAAAAAATAAATATATCAAAAACTACGACTTCTCTTGCACGCTTAACGATAGCAGAGCAGTTCAAGTCACTATGACGTCCGTTATAGGTCATTTAATGGCTTATGACTTTCCACCTGAATATCAAAATTGGCAGCAAGTCTCTCCTTTAACATTGTTTGATGCGCCCACCGAGAAACATATAATACGAGTAAGACCATAAAAAATTTATCAATTGGTAAGAATGCTTCAATGGATAAAGCCATTCCAATTTCATTTGTGCAAAAGGGAATTGAGGCCATTCGTGATAATATTGCAAAAGAAGCACGTAATGCTGAACAAATAATGATATGGACTGATTGTGATCGCGAAGGTGAAAACATTGGATCGGAGATCGTAGATGTCTGTCGTGGTGCGAATTCAAAAATTAAAGTATCAAGGGCAAAATTTTCCGCTATTATTTCCCAGTGAGTTTTGCGTATTCAGGCCATCCTCCAATGTTTATATGTTCACACTTGTTTAGGTGACAGTCAACTTTCAAATCTAGACAAATCCGTCATGCATGGCATTCACCGGTGGATTTGGATTATCGTCAAGCAAATGCGGTAGATGCTAGATCAGAGCTTGACTTACGAATTGGTGCTGCGTTTACTCGATTTCAAACTTTAGGCTTACAAAATTTGTTTTCAGAACTCAATAAAAAAGTAATAAGTTATGGTAAGCATAATAGAATTTGATGGTGTACCTATCTGTTTAACCCAATTGCTAGATTATTAATGGCTTATAGGTTCCTGTCAGTTTCCAACGTTGGGATTCGTAGTGGATCAATACTTAAAAGTTCAGAATTTCGTTGAAGAAAATTTCTGGAAAATATATATTGCATTAGAACGGGATGGTAGTATTGTAGAATTTCAATGGGCAAGAAATCATTTGTTTGATCGTTTAGCATGTGTAGTAATTTATGAGAAATGTATGGAAAATCCAATGGCAACTGTCGTTGATGTCAACTCTAAAGAAGTGAAAAAATGGTAAGAGAGTATGGATTGTACCCGGTTAGAAATTGTTATTATATGGCTATAATAAATTACCCGGATAACTAGATTATTTAATAATATACAGATATAAATTTTCTTGACGGGTACAATCTTATAAGAGACTAAATTTTCAAGAGTATAATAACGTACAGCGGAGGTTTATTTTTAAGAATTCTTCCAACCTTTCAATGATAGGAAACCGTATCCGTTAACTACCGTAGAACTCCAAAAAATTGGATCAAGATACTTACGTATTTCGTCGGATAGGTTAATGAGTGTAAGTGTATTTATGAAATAGGTAATCGACTTTGATGATAATTCTTGATCATATTGCGCAAATTTGCAACTTCATTATAAAATAGGTCGCCGAAGAATTGTATGTTAAAGGTTTTATAAGCTATCCGAGAACGGAAACAGATCAATTTGATAAGCAGTTTGATTTTCGCTCTTTGATTGAAAAACAAACTCAAGATTCAAGATGGGGCGATTTTGCAACAAGGTTATATGCTTATATTTATATCTTGAGAATCAATATCAAGTTTATTAATAATCTTGTCTGATATAGACTTTTGTCTGGCGGACTTCGTACGCCACGTAATGGAAGTCATAATGATCAAGCACATCCTCCAATTCATCCGACTCTTTATGCATCTGATTTAACAGGAGACGAACAAAAAGTATACGAGTTTGTTGTTAGACGTTTTTTAGCATGTTGCTCAGATCATGCTGTAGGACATGAAACGATCATAGAAGTTAAGTTATGGGAAGAAAAGTTTACTGCTAAAGGTGTGTTAAAATATAGTGTATCTATGTTGTTAGTGAAGAGAGAATTTAGGTGGATTTGGAATCGCTTAATAAAATTACAATTTTAGGGTAGAATTTATTTTATATAAACCTATACTCTAATCCTAATAATCTTAAAAAATTCCAAATCCATCTAAATTTCGTTCCCATTTACAGCATCTATATTAGAACATTTTTGATATTAATAATTTTTGTACAGGACTTGTGATACTGGCTAGGAATTATTTGGATGTATATCCTTATGATCGCTGGGGTGAATCCAATTTGCCAAATTTTCAAAAAGGCGAAATGTTTATACCAACTACATGTGAAATGCGAGATGGACGTACTTCACCGCCCGAATACTTGACTGAAGCTGATTTGATTAGTATAATGGACCAGAATGGCATAGGTAAATTCAAATTTTTTTTTTAAGTTTTAATTAAAAAGGTATATTAACTATTGTCATTTCAACAGGTACTGACGCGACCATTCATGTCCATATTGCTAAGATAATTGAACGAGAATATGCTAGAAAAGACAATAGGAATGGGAAAACATATATATTACCATTGGACTTGGGTATTGCGCTTGTCGAAGGTTACGACTCTATTGGATTTGATAAGTCGTTGTCTAAACCATTTTTGAGAAGAGAGGTGAGAAATATGCATTAGAACTTATTGCTATTATAACATGTTTATATTTACTTATGGCATTAATAACCACATAAAAATTATCAGATGGAGTCAAAGCTTAAAATGGTTTGTGAGGGACGACAACAGAAAGAGGATGTGATTAAGGATAGTCTTTCTATGTATAAAGACATGTATATCAAGACAAATGAGAACGTTCAAAAATTAATTCAAGTAAGGATTAATCATATGTGGTTTGAGAATTTCATATATATTTATTATTTTATTAATTTATTTATTTATTATTAGAGTCTTTCTAATCGGTTAACAACATCTGGGTCCAATCTTAACCTTGATGTCTTTAATAATATGTTGGTATGTATTCATGCGATGTCATTATTATCATTAATTAAATTACTATGTATATGATCATATAGCTCGAAACCCGACCAAATCCTGTGCAACCAACTAGAAGACCTTTTCAACCCTCTACGGTTGGTATACGATATAGTTCCTGATTTCATATATTCAGGTTAATATTATAAAATACGCGTTCACTACTTTATTACTTTTTTAGCCAAGATTTCAACCTACAGCAGCACAATCTGATCATCCTAAATGCCAATGTGGTCTATACGCTGCTTCTAATAAGACAAGGTCTTTAGGAGTTAATTACGGAAGGCCTTATTTTACATGCCCAAAGGCAGGTAAAAAGTGTACTTTTTTCCAATGGGCAGATGGTGCCCCAAATTCAGGTTCGGGTACTCGCCGAACTCATACGACTAGTGACAATAATTCTGGAAATGGTATAGTGCAGAGAAAAAAGCGGTCACGATTTAAATAATAAAAAACATTATTAATTATTATTTTTATTAAGAATCTAAATCTGCATAGTTATGAATGGAATTATACGTATTAAATATTATAATATACTATTAATTATACAAAGAAACAAACTGCCAGCTTTTATCACTTATTGGATTTAGTTTTAAAATCTGATTAGTTATATATTCAAAGGGCTAAGTTTGGTAGATAAATTTTAAATAAAATAATAATTTATTAATGATATGGGGTATAGTTTGCTTATAAAATATATTTTTAAAAACATTTTATAAACTTTATTATAAAACTTTTTTCAAAATATTAATAAATTTTGGGCGTTATTTTATGGCGACCTTATGATCGACCAATCAAAATCAAGCATATAATTTATACAGAAATAGTGTTGAAATTGTTTACCAAATTTTGATCAAAGATATTTCGGCAATCAATTAATCAAATTCGATGAAAATTTTTTATTCGAATTCTACAGAACTGTAGAATTCGAATAAAAAAAAATTGATCAAATTTAATTGATTGGTTGTCAAGATATCTTTGATTAAAGTTTGGTAAAAATTTTAAAACATGTATTATACAGGAATTGTATTAAAATTGTTTACTAAACTTTGATCGAAGATATTTTGGCAACTAATCAATCAAATTCGATGAATTCAAATAAAAAAAATTCATCAAATTTGATTGATTGGTTGTCAAGATATCTTTGATGAAAATTTTAAAACATATATTATATAGAAACTGTATCAAAATTATTTACCAAACTTTGATTGAAAATATTTTGGCAACCAATCAATCAAATTTGATCAATTTTTTTTTATTTGAATTCTACAGTTTCATCCCTTAAATTGTAGACTATTTCCAGACAAATTTGCCTAGAAAATTAACAAAAATATACTTATGATCTATATTTTTAAATTTTAAAATATTAAATAAAATTTTGTTTGATAATATTTAAAAATAAGGATTATAATATAGTAATATTTAATTTTATATTATAAGAAA